AATCACCCTTCTATCTCAGTTCTGAAACTCAGCAAGCAGCGAGCCAGCTTCATTTTCTCTCTGACTTTTTTTTGTGATGGGTGGTTGCACTTCCCTTTGAAACAAGTTTCCAGTTTTTATTTCTATCACTGGGTTGCTAGATTACTTTATCTTTCAACTGTAAACTGTACACAAATAAATGGGAATTATAAGAAATGTAACTTCAGTACTTCATAGGAGCTTGAACCAAAGAACTCTATAATTACACAGCTATTCTAAAACTAATACTTTAGAAGTTTAAAATAATGATCAAGCCTGACCACCATAACATCCTCTTATATAGAACAGCACTTGATAATCCAAAGCCAACAACATCCCCACAGAAAGCCCCATCGAGTTACCAATCACTTACAATATATATATATATATATATATAAAGCCAAGCAAGTAACAGATGTTTAGATTTACAACTTAATTAAATTAGATAACTCTTTTGGGTGGGATGATCACTAACTAGGTGCCAATTATGTCAGAGTAATAAACTGAGATACTAAGAAAGTTGTCCTCAGCTACTAGGGCTTGAACCCTAGATTCTTGACTCACACTCCGAGATATGAACTAGCAGGCCTAGAGACTCTGGCAGACAACTTTCTATCTTGACTGACAGGTTATACATTGTTAAGGTGTCCAGAGCTAAGTAAAACTATAAATATTCTATAGCTAAACAGTCTTTCCATGTATGGCTCATTGCAGTCATCATCATAATATTTTGATTGCGGAGTTATTGCTGTATTAAATTTATATCTTTTACCACCTTAATTTATTTTGAAACAGAATCTATATGGAAAAGTTACCTTATCCCAAATTTAAATTTGTTATAAAAGTTCGTTGTTTGTCTTTACAGCCTATACAGAGTTGTATGAAAAACAATGTTAAAGGTAAGTTATATCCCATGGCAGAGCTGGGCAAATTAACCAATTATCTATGAGCAATAACTACATAAATTAGTATCTCATAAATTAATCAACTGTAATGAATATAACTAACTAATCAAAATTAGTGTTACTGCTTTTGATTATTCCAACAATCAACTAATCAAAAATAGGATTATTACTGTTTTCCATTATTCCAACTATCCAAGTAATTGAAATATTGCCATTATGTTTGTTTAAGCAGAAAGCTATATAATTTTGAACTTCTGACTATAAGGAAGAGAACTGACTGACAGCCCCAACTACCAGCTCCCTAGCTATTTAAGTGCTAAATAAAGTGTAAATTTACATTATTCTTGTTTAAAATACCTTGTTTCTAATTTAAAATTACGAACTTTATTCTTTAATGTTGTATGAGCAGATGCAAACCTAGGGGAGGGGTCCACAGAACCTGGCCATCCATTTCTTTCCCCAGAAATTCATAACTTTATTATTTAATGTTACACGAGTAGGCACGGATCATGAGGAATGAGGGGTTACGACCCCCATTTTTTCAGGAATTAATAACTATTCTTTAATGTTGCATAAGGCAGGCATGGATATAGAGTGGTAAAGAGGGGTCAAACCCTCTCTACACAATTTTTTTTTAAATTAATAACTATTATTTAATGTTGTATAAGTAGGTGCTAATCTAGGGGTCATAGGAGCCTCCCCCCTTCCATAACTGGGGAGACACGAGGAACAGTGCTCTGTTACAGTGCAATAGCTGAACCAAGTTCCCTAAATTTTTAAAAGCAAACTGACCCCAATTTATTCAATCCAATATTCGGCAAAGATAGGCAGGATCCCCTTATGCTTTACTCATGATAGTTCATGAGTGGCAGTCCACAATATTACAGTAATAGCGACTGATCAGTCTCTAGGTGGTCTTATGGAACACCTCATTTCTACAGGATCTGTTGCAACCTGTATAAAGTATATTGAATTAATGGTTGCTAGTGAGGAATTGGTTTGATAAAAGCACACCTATCTGGGCAACACTTGCCACAGCGTGGGATTTTGTGAAAATGATGTTAGGGACCGTGAAAGGTAGCAATGAAAATACTCACCCCTCTGTATAATCTAGCAAAAATGTTTAAGATAGGTACAGGGGGTAGACAAAAAATCTCAGTTGAAGGTACTGCTAGATCATGCAAATAATGTGAGATAAAATTATTGGGGGAGGTCCACATACCAGCCCGCGCCATGTTCTCCAGTGGGCAATTCAACTAGGCTGCTAAGAACATAGAAATGTAACAAATCTGATTAGACATAACTCACAGAATATTACTTGCCTTCAAAGAGAGCCCAAAATAAAGAGTCACT